ACAAGAGGATGCAAAGGGGTCTGCATGGGATCCTACAGCCATGTTGGTGTAATTAACTGGGAATGCTTTTTATTAGGCGACATAAAACTGACGTATGATTCATTCAAGCATAAGAAGACGCCTAAGTCGAGCCGTGAACCAGTGTTGTGTAAACATACAACAGAAAAGTTAGCAAAGAACTAATATTAAGTCATATTAAAGCATTTTGTTACTAACATTTTGTTGCAAAAACATGCAATTTTTTCCCATTACTGTATGTAAATCTACAAAAATTGCCCAAGAAAACACAGTTTGACAGGAATAAAGTATAAAAACTATCCAAAGCAGATAAAGCTTATCTGAAATTCATGTCTTTATTGTATAAAAGAATTGGTGGGCAGGCACTAGCACTCATGAATTGGTCTCCCCAGTGTCCAGATCTCAGCATTATTGAAGCAGTGTAGGAACAGAATGCAGTCAACATCTAAAGAAGAGATTTGAATGTCCTTTAAGAATCTTGGAAAAGTATTCCTGAAGACTACTTAAAGGAATTACAACAAACTTTAAGAGAGTTCATGCTGTGTTGAAGAATAAAAGTGATCATACCAAATGTTGACTTTCAAACTTGTTACATTTGTATAAACTCTATTTCTGTCTCGTTTACTGTATTCAGATTAATTCTTGAACGTTTCAATAACTCGCTGCAGCCATTTCACAATTTCTTTGCAAAATATGAAGAAATGAATAGTGACTCAAGATTTTTGCACAGTTTTGTATTCCTATTCATTACAGAATAAAATGAGTACTTGTGCTTTTAAATACATTGACAACAGACACAGAAAAAGTTTTTTTATTAGAGAAGTTTATTTTAAGAGGTGGCAAGGGGGATTTTGACACGTTCCTGAAGTTTTACAGAGAGCTTCCCGATTTATCCCTGCTATCTGACCTTTGACCAGCTGGAAGCTTCACTGTAAATCAGCGTTCTTGCCGTACATACTCTGGCAATGATGAGGGGGGGGGAAAAAAAAAAAAAAAAAAGATCCTGTACTTGTGGACTAACAATGAAGTTTTAGGCAGTTTTTCATATAAAATTCCGATTTTGTATTATGTTAAACATGACATAATGAGAATGCAGATGGTTTACAGTTCATCTCCTGAGGGTTCTGCAGATATTAATGTATCTATGACCACACGATGATGTATAACAATAAGAAACCACTTTAGAGAAGTATCTGTTTTTTATAAAACTTTAGTTCAAAATTGTAACTACACTGTAACTACATGGCCAATTTGATTTAGTTTATCCACACAAGTGAGACCAAATTTCAAATAGATGATGGTTTATTAGTTTATGCAGGGACAATACAAAAAGTCAAAGTAATAAAAAACAAGCCATTCTGGTCGCACTTATTTTCTTTCAAGGCATCAGTTACAACAATGAACTAAAACTCAGCTGTATAACTGTACAACAAAGTAAATGAACAATAAACAAAAACGCCACCATGGTTTGATGAGAGCAGTTTTAAGAGAGCCAAAGAGGCAACCGACTCCAGACTTCCTAATGATTCAAAATGAATCAGCAGTATCAGATTATCTCCTATCAGAAGCTGCCTGCCAGTCAAGCACACTGAACATAACAGAGTACAACAGACAACAAAAGCAAGTGGATTTTAAGAATGCTCTATTTCTTACCAATTTTTATCGCGGGGATACTGCAGGTGGAGTCCACTGGGTAGTGATGTGCCCCCATGGGGCCACTGTGTGGAGCTGTTTTCATGTTGATGGCACGCCAACCCAGTCTTTTCTGTGTACATACTATTTGTGTATATATTTCAACACTCTAGGATGGTTCTGTAGTTTATGTGTCTAAAATCACTCAGAGCTTTTGGGGTCCGGTCTGTGATGCAACAGAGGAGGTTTAAGAAGTTGCACCAGGTGTTGGATTGACATTCTGTGTGGCCGCCTGTGGTGCTACCTCTATGATTCGTGGTTTGTCAATGATGCGAGCAGTGCGGTTTCCTTTCTCTACAATCCCGATGATCCATGCTTGATGACCTTCTCCGTATTTTGGGGATTTGATCTCGGCACAGAAGCGGGCAGCTTGTTCTCGAGGTAAACAAATAAGCAGACCTCCTAGAAATGAAAGGAGATGTTGTCAGACAAGTGACTTAAATGAAGATTTAAGTCTAATTAAATCACTCATTTTTAGAATATGACACTGTTAGGGAGTACTCGGCCTTCTTACAGATAACTCTAAAGGCATTTTTATACATGAACAAATTCACAAGGTCCAAATTTGCCATTTCTTGCATGTAGCACACAGCTGGAGATTATCGGTGCCTGAGGTGTTCTCACTATTGGAAATACTGCCTGCAGGTAGTATGACATCCACTGGCTTTCTGCAAATTCTCCATGATGTGCACCACTCCCACATGGGCCCAACTGGATATAACAGACTTTTTTTTTAAAACAAACAAACAAAAAAAAACACAGCTCTAATGCATAAAGTGCATGTGTGAAAACAGATTTGATATCAATTCTGCTGCAGATTGTTGATCACAGCATGAAACATTAAGCAGATAAACTAATCACAAAGATAGATCTTTTAACTGATGCGCTGTAGATTATTTAACAACTTCTTCGGCTTCTGTAACTTCTCCACATAGTTAAGCAAAGACACTTATGTGACTGTAGATGCGCGCCTTCATCAAACTGCCTCAATTACACACGCTTGCCATCTTCCAACACTGTCTTGAAGAAATTAATGGCCTATAAAGTCTGATATGCTTAAAAGATAAATCAGAAGGACAGCTGAACCTCAGCCAAATTTCAACCTTTAATAGTTACAATCTCAGGACTTTCAATCAGACAAAACATCAAAATGTAAATTTTTTTTTAACATGTCTTGCTTCTCTCCCCGAACATCAACCAATTATGGTCTGTTATTATTGCTGCTTTACTTATTTAGCTACCTAATTGTTAGGAGATTAAACTCTCAATTCACATCCCCAAACAAATTTTCCCGAAAGAGAAAGAAGCTGATTAATAATAACAGAACCACAGTCTTTTGTAAAATCAGTTACAGTGAGAAGTGGCTTTACCTTACTGATGGCACATAAAATTCAGTTGAGCTGCCTCTAGTTACACTTTTTCATTTTCTAAGATCTTTTTCCAGAACTTACTGCATTCCTTGGTAAAATCTCAATGTCTTGAAAACATTAAAATACACACACGCACACACCTGATGTTTCAGGACAGGTGCCATGCATGAGCCCGAACATGTTCCCACAGGCTTTAGACACGGCGGCCATCTTGGCGAGCACTGGGAGGTTGTGGATGACAAAAGACACCTCACTTCGCTGTTGTCGTGCCAACGTCTGAGCGTGGCCGAGTATGCCAAACCCTGTGATATCGGTCGCTGCGTGAGCATTGAACGTGTGCATGAGACCCGCAGCTGCAAGCAAAAGACAGTAAGATAGGCATCATGATGATCAATTTGTTTATTGCCAAAAATCTGCAAACGCTCAAGTAATCTGGATGCAATAATGTCGACTAGTAATATAATAGAATCTAATGGGTAATAATACTCATTACATTCTTACTAACAAATAATTACTAATTACGAGAAAACAAAGTCATTAGAACCACATACTCGGTAATGCTATTGTTAAAATGTAACCGAGAATAATCAAAAGTTTAGGCAGGCAGAAAAGGTCACATGCTCTTAATGGTCTTGCCTGTCCTGTTGAGCCGAGCCATATTCATCATGGCTTCATGGTAGGCCAGCTCTACGTCCTCCTGCGTCACCACCAGCTTGATCTTGTTCCATTTTTCAGGCTTTTCAGAGACACAAAGAAAGCATAAATAGGCAGTGATGTTACTGGTTATTATTAAACAACAGGTTTTTAACAAAATTATTCAGAAACGAGTTGGCAGACTTACAATATCTAGCCACTGATGCACTGCAACTGCCACTTGTGTTCCAAGTGGTTTGGTCAACACCAACACATCTCCTGGCACTGCATTGTCTGGCCTGAAAAACGTCAGACACAGCATCGTCAAGCTTGTTTTAAGGCACCCAAGGAAGCAAAAAACAGCAAAATATGCAGCAGGAACTCATTCCTACATGATAAACTCATTGGGCTGGCAAACTGTTGTTGCAACTCCTCCCATCACTACCCAGGGGTTGAGCACCGTCTGACCTCCTGTTACAGACGTCCCTGCCTCCTCTGATGCATCTTTGAATCCCTGGATGATCAGTGGCATGACTTTGTCTCTCTCCTGTAAACACAGAAGAATGTCAGAGTCGAGGCTCGGGACATTTTAAATGCACTGATGATAATAAGAGATGTCCCAAACTAATGTGATTCCAGTACTAGGGCTATTGCATGAAATTACCCGTCACTTTATTACGTACACCTGTTCCACTGCTCATTGATGCAAATCGCATGATTGCAACTCAATGCATTTAAGCATGGAGGCACAGTCAAGACAACCTGCTGAAGTTCAAACTGAACATCAGAATGGGCTGATTTAAGATAAAAGCTGATTTAAGTAACTTTGAACATAACATGGCTGCTAGTGGTCTGAGTGTTTCAGAAGCCGCTGATCTACTGGGATTTTCCTTTGTAACCATCTCTAGGGTGTACAGAAAATGGTCCAAAAAAGAGAAACTATCCAGCAAATACTGGATGTCAGACATGGAAGAAGAAACACCAGACCATTACAAGCCGATAGGAAGACAACAGTAACTCTAATAACCACTTGTTACTACCAAGGTCTGCAGACACATCCCTGAAGACACAGCACATCAAACCTGAAGGCATCTACACACCAGAGCACCTGAAGACCACACAGGATGCCACTCCTGTCAGCTAAGAACAGGAAATTGAGGCTACAGTTACACAAATTCACCAAAACAGGGCAATAGAAGGCTGTTGCCTTGTCTGATGAGTCTCAATTTGTGGTGCCACACTTGGATGATAAAGGTCAAAATTTGGATGGATTTTTGGATGTGCATCCAACAAATCTGCAGCAACTGTGTGAAGCCATCATGTCAATATAGACCAAAATCTCCAAAGAAATTATTTCAGCACTTTGGTGAATCTCAAAGAATTAAAACATTTGCGAAGCCAAAAGGATGTCTAACCCGGTACTAGTAAAGTGTCCAGCAAGTGTACCTTTACTTAAGCAAGATATGTCTTACTTTCTCTGACATTTTGTTGCTGACTCCCAGAAGCATCAACATGTTGTCACACTCAGTAACTCCCATGGCGTACAGGTCACTTAGAACATTGGCACAAGCAATTCTTCCCTATAGAAAAGAGACCATGAAAATTCATCACATACAGGTTTGGTATGCAAAGTAATTTAATGAAAGAAAACCAGAAAAGTAATGCTAATGAAGAAGGGAAGGTCCTTACCATCATGTAAGGGTCATCCACAATGGGATAGATGTAGTCTGTTGTCTGGACAAGAGAAAGGCCACCATGCCGGAGGGGGATCACACACGTGTCCATGCCAATGCCTTCATAAAGAATATCTCTCTTAATGTAATATTTTAGAGTGTCTGCACTTGTGACCTGTGAACTGTGACCATGTATTTGCTGCTATGCTTAAAAACAGAAGGGGTGGGGGAGAGATAGCATTGCTATTAATGTGCTATATGATTTTAAGAATTACCTAATCGAGGCATAACCGCCCCCAGGAACTGTTCATCCTCTTGATAGTGGTTCTCTTGCAGGGTTTCTAGCAGCTTCTGTAACACATCTTGGGGGACCTGTGATTAGAGAAAATGACCACAATTTTGATGTATTATTTCCTCACTAATCTGTGCAAAGAAAATAACACATTCAAGGCAGATTTTTTTTGTGGACAGCTAACCTTGCAGCCTGTGCCTTTGAGCTCAGCAAACCGTGTGAGCCTGAAGTTCTTGTCCAGCTCATAGCTTTCAGGGTTAAAAGACTCCCTCACAGACATGTCTGAAGAAGCTCTGGGTCCGCACCACTAGAACCACATCAATGACTATGAAAAATAAATAAAACTGGTGATTAGAGACAGTGTCTGGGTGTCTCAAGAAAATAAATGCAAATGTTGAGCAAAAGAGATGCTGGTTGGCATCTCTTTTGCTGCAATGATAGAAATTTTGTTCCAGAGCTCTGTTGACAAAATATTAGGAACACCTAAGTACATTAGAAGTTACTACTATAAACACGACTCAAAGATCAGTGTGATATTATTGCAGGTGTGTTGTATTTTGTGATTGAAACAAGTTTACAAATAAATAATAAAAAACTGCATGGCGATTTTAATGCACAGTTGTTATTAAATGTTTTTAATTTGTTAAATACTAGTTTTGATAATTATTGTATTCTTTCTTTAAGGCAACGGGGTGTCGGATATCTTTAAATTGAAATGCACAATAATGAATGTGGCATCACCTAAAAGCCCCCCCCCCCCCAAATACTCTCCAATCACTGAGAATATAATAAACTTTTGTGTTCCCAAAAATAAGCTCCACAAAGTTGATAAAACTGAAATGCCGTGCAAGTTGGTTGTTACTTATAATCTCGGTTTTTAACATAAACCGGCGTGAGCTGATGAAGGGGCCGTTACTGGTATAGTGGGGTAGTGTTCAAGACAAGCAATGATCCCAAGTTCATTCAACCCTTGGGCACAGGCTAACAATAAAAGTAATGATGTGTGAGTGATTCCGTGTGATGTGAGCGGCATAACACGCTGTCGGCAGCTCAGCTTTAAGACACGTGCGTTGATAATGACAGCTACACCCTCTACGTCTGTTTGTTTTGCTGAAAATGCAGTTTTGGCTACTGCTGCTAGCTCTTGCTAGCAAACGCTGCTCCATGCAGCAGCCGTTGAACAGCTCCGTGTAACAAAGAGCCGATGAGCAACCCACTTCAAGAGCTGCTGCACATCTAAAAACAGATAAGACGCACACTGCGACCTAAACGTGACGCGTAGCGTTGAGTCGCAGTGTCAGCTCGTAGCACATGTACGTTAAAAAGTTGCCGTAGAGCGCCGAACAAAAATGTCGGCGGCGGAAAAAATTAACCCTTTCCTGTCCCTCGCCATGCGATGTGTGCAACATTAGCGTCAACACGAATAAAACCGCGCTGCACCTGCTACGTGTGCAAACTTTGTAACGCTGCGGTGCAATAGAAGTGTTTACAACTGCTCTAGATGTGATTTTAGGACCAAAGCGGAGGTATATTCTTGCAACATTTCCCCTTTAATTGCTCTGACCATTTTATCCTTACCAGCTTCACGTTAGCGGCGGATCCCGACAGAAGAGCGGGGAAGGCACCAGCATGCACCGGGGCTACAAACGGCTGTCCTGCGAGAAAGCCTGACGAAAAGTGACACATATTTGACTTCTAACATTGGTCTAAGCGAATAAAACTGTACAAGTATCGTGAGTAATTAAGCATATTGTGTTTTTAAAAAATGTATCCAACCTCTGCTCACCTTTATAAAAATGCGTGAATTAGAATGCAAGAAGGAAACTAACCAGATCTCAAAGGGTCCTCCTTCTGCACACTGGCGGCTTCAACATCCCCTTTAATGAGCTGTGAAGTCTGGCAACAAAATCTCAACAATGGAGTGTACCTTTAATTTACTGTTTCCCTCCAAGTGCGACTACAGCAACACAACATTGCCTGGCTCGAAGTTACCCTAATAAAAGATAAAATAACTTTTATTTTATCATTTTTAGCTTGTGTTTTGATAACAATTAGCCTAAATTTGAAACTTTTCTTTTAACATATTTGAGTGCTTTGTTTTGTTAATTATACTTTACACAATATAAAAAAAAACACACGAACAGCAACTTTGAATAAAGTAGATTTAATGGTGGGATCAACCTTATTTTTTAAATATATGTACAGTTAGCAAAAATGAAAGGAAAATACATAATGTCATCACAATATTGACACCAACTGCAGTGGTATGCATAGCCTAAAAATCTAATAAAGAAAAAAAAAAGCATTTATAGTCTGCGATATATTTTTATATTTTCACCAAATGTAGACTGCAAACCTATTGTTAATTTGCAAATTTTTTTAATGAATTAAAATTTGCCCCAAAAAGAAATACATCGGACCATGTTTACAAGATGTTTGCATTTGGATGTAATGTCTGGATATAAGGTGGATGCTGCACTGCACATTAAACCCACTAAAGTTACTTGAAAGGCACAATCCACAATGAACAGCTTCCCGTGAAGTTTAGTTTTTGCTAAATAAATGAACGCAATAGTGTTATAGTACTTAGTCTCATTTGAGATGTTTGATCCTTATTTCATTGCATGGAAATAAAACAAGTTAGCTTTTAAGGCTGTTGTCTTTTATGTAAACAGTAAGTGACCGATTTTATTACCTAACCGCTATATAGTTCAGTGTTTATTTTCACAAAATTCCAAATCTCAGCATTTAAATGGGGCCCCAATGAAAAGCCTTTTGGAACACAAATGCTACATTGGGATTCTTGTTTGGTCCTATTTTATGTCTCTTTACATTCATAGCACATAGCAGTTAACAGCTGCAAATAGTGGCAAAATGCACCAATTCAGAGAAATAATGAAGACAAGACTCTACTGTAAGGCCATCGTGGCAGCCATTGGATTAACCAGTTGTGTTCGCTGCTATCCTCTCTTCACTTGCAGCCTGTTTATTATCACAGCCTTTAAAAGAAGGAAGAAAATATTGTCAAAATGATATATATATTATCACCAAAAAGATATCTTAATGAATGAACATGGCAACAAAATAAAATGCTATTGTGACAATGAGGGTGAAATATAGAGGTGAAAGAGTGGATATGCGGCATGGTGTGAGGATAATTAGCTGACATTTTGGAAAGCTGCATGAAAATGTCAAAAGTCACTGTGACAGCATGACAAAGACCGATGAGCCAATGAGAGAGCTGGCAACACCAGCTTGTGTGTGTGTGTGTGTGTGCTGTGACAATGATGTGGGGAGAGGTAAAGCCATTGTGTACTCAGAGGGGGGCTGATGGAAAGATTTTGTAAGATGGAGGGCTGACATGAAGGGAACCAGCAACCAGAAAATGGTCAAAACAGACAACTGAATTAATGTATGTGTCTGTGTGTGTGCCCACGTGTGGCAGACACCCATAAGTGTAAAAATCATAATAATGAGTTTAATACTTGTGGATGGTCCATTTGAGATGTCTTCTGCTTCTACGGCATCTGAAGAGCCAAAGACAACATAGATTGACAGACGGCCTTTTCTTTAGCCTTGAAACGAGCTGCCTTACAAGTATTGTAAAAGGAATGGGCTTCCTCTAGCACCTTAATCAAGGGAAAATATTAAAATGGTTTAAATGATTTAGCAGCAGAACCTCTTTTCAGCCTCCTCCTTGCAAGTTTGATCTGATCTTGAAGGATCTGAACCCAGTCTCGTGGCCCAGGCAACTTCTCTATTTTGTGTTCAGTGCAGTATTTCTCTGTAAAAACTGGACACACACCATAGTTACATTAATGTTTGTTCAGAAATGTAGTTACACTTTAGTTTGTCTTTCTCTGCCTTACCTTTAATGGCACCCACAATGTTCTGGTCCAAGCCCTTACGGTTATCATTTAGCCCTCTCTTCCTTTTGCCATTTGGCAAGGAGTTAGCCAGCGTGGCGTCATCAAAGAAGGCACACACCTAAACACACAGCAGAGCTCTTGACCATGCAGCATTTTTGTTCTTTGTTCACATTTCACACGATTATAAAATAATCAGAGCGACAGAGAAAACGCTTTTAAAAATCATAGACGTGCACCAGTTTCCGGAACAGCAGGCTGCCTGAGCGTGTATAGTTGACCAGAATGGAGTCTAGCTGGGCCTTAGAGATAAACACGTCATAATCCTCTGCAAGACGCACCTCAGACTGTGAAGGAGTCAAGCAACACAGAGTGTTAATTGTAAAGCATTAAATAAATATCACCAGTTGAAATATGAGTTTTTAGAAAGAAAAAAGCGAGAAGACGTTATCTTCATTTCTAGCATTAGCTCAAATCATAGATGTGCTGTAAAATAAACCGCAAGGATGTTTGCACAAAGGTTTATGTCTCATTAGGCAAAAAACAAGGAAAAATCAAGGTACTTAAACTTTTTTTAGGCATGGAGCTTCACAAAAGAAGCAACGTTTAGGCTGCAAATTATTTTTACATGCAAATACACATACACGTTCAAATTCATAAGACAGGTGCAATGCACCTGAATCAAATTAAGCGTCCAAATGAGGCTTGGTAAGCACACGTTGCTGCATACGTACATCCACACTAAGGTAAAGATTACCTCTAATGCTTGTGATTCCCGTAGTTGGTTCAGGAGAGGAGATGTGTTGTTGACCGTCACTGGGTTGGTCTGAGGTGGTGGCACAGGAATGTCAGAGGAGATGGGATGATTGTTGGTTGTAGATGAGTCTTGTTTCTCACATTCTCGCTTCTTTACAGATTCCACAGGTGCAGCTTTTAGCAGTGATGCATCCAGAGGAGCAAGACCAGCTCTTCTGGTGCTAAACACAGATAGCGGAGCCATCCTATAGATTGGCCTCCTCTTTCGAGGCCTGTGGCGAGGACTGGGTCCTGCACCTAGGCGAGGTTGAGACGGCGATGCTGCCCTTTCCTGCTTTTCTAAAGATGCTATTAAAAGGCAGAAAAACATTATATTGTGTTTATCTCTTTATTTTAGAGTGTGTATTGGTGTTCATTTACTAACCTTTTTGATTCTGCATCAACCTCCTCATGCCACGTAGTTCCTGCAGAATAGCCTGCAAGGTGCCCTTACAGTTACACATACAGCAGGGGGTTTCTGGCACAGTAGGAGGAACTACATCTGCTGGGAAATGAGGGATGCATTTGTTAGCGCTTGTTCACTCTAACATATGCACACAAGTGCAAACATGCTTTAATGTAACAACAAAGGTGTAAGCCATTGCTGGTGTTCATCACTCAATATTTAATGAAATTCACTATTCTTCAAATAACTTAAAATTTGTTTAGTAGTTTTCTCCTTTCAAACATGCACCGATATCCTACCATTAGTTTCATTCACTTTGATTAAACCCTTTGTGCTGTTGAGAATCCTGAGGGCTCTGGAGCGTGTGCTGTACTGGCCGCAGCCTGGGCTGTTTGGGACTGGGATGGATATGGATGAAGGTGAAGGCCCTGGATCCTCTGCAGAGTTCCAGCTGTTGCTCTGGTGGTCCTCTGACACCAGAGATAAAAGTTCAGGCTGATTTATCCAGTTCAGAGGCTTTTCCTGGGGCTCCTTTGTTAAGCTATCCTGCTCTGTACCAGCACGCTGGTATACTCTGCTGGTTTTATCGCTCAGAAGCCTCATCATTCCTGTGATTTGCCTTTTGATCTCCATGCCCTCATCCTCCAGCCAAGCTACATTAAGAGAGAATGGTGCTCATGTAATTACTGATATTTTGTATGACATATAATCAAAATTCATTCTCTGAATGGCACATACCATCAGGCATAGCACCATCCTTTGGCTCCCCATTGGCATCTTTGGAGCTGGAGTTAATCACATATGAAGGCTCTAAATCTGCAAAGAAAAAAAACTGAATAGTTTCGTTATGAAGCACAGCTGTAAAGAAACGCAACAAAACCTTGGTGACAGATGTCACAGGATGATATTGCGGCCTTTTGCCTTGTAAGGTTGAAGCTTGTGCGGGCTAATGAGCTGTGATGCCTACCAAAGCAGAACCCTCCACCTCACCCCCACCCCATCCCATGCAAAAACCACCACCTGTAGGTGATATGAAGTAGTGTAGTCAAGAGAGGTGGTGTGTTCCTTACAGCTTAAGCAAAAAGTGCACAGTTGAAGCTCCTTGTTACGAGCTCAGAGTGCGCAACATATTTTCACATTTTATTCAATTTGCTTACTTAATTCAGTCTTAAAAATCTAACCGGAATGAGCCGCGTTAAGACTGATGTCTAGGATGTTTCTTTTATTTTCTTTTACATGCAAGATGTGAATCCCTATAGTTAGCTGCTGGTTAAAACCGAGGCACAGACTGGGCATTGTCGTGGCTATCGCTTTTGTTTACAGAGTCGTCTCTGCTGGCGCACAGCGCCAGACAAACACCCAGACACAGACGCGCGTCTTGCAAGGTCTTGCATTCATTCAGCAGCTTACCTCCATCCGTGACCAGTTTAAAGCTCTGTGACTTCCTTCTCCTCTTCCTTTCTCCAAACTCCATCTTCAGGTGGTATATCCAGTAAGTCGTGCAGTGGAAAAAATATTCGCTCTTCGGGAGGACGAAATCACTGACTAGGTTACACTCAGCGGAATCACTGTCCGTCTGCCTTATTAATCAGTTAAATTTATTTCCTGCTTGCGCTACAGATTCTCTCATCTCTTCGCAAATATTCGCAGTGTTAAGCTCAAAGTGGCCCGTTCAGTTGTATTCTACAGTCCATTCCCTTTGCCAGCATGATGCAGCTTCTTGGCTTCCGTCATGTAAATAAATTAATGACTTTAATATTAAAAAATCGTCACATATCCCTTTGCGCCACCTGATGGTATGTTCTCAACTGAAAGGTCGAGTCAGACATTTGCTAGTGGTGTCCAAACTGTGGACCGGTATTAACACAAACAGCACTGAAACAGAAAAACAAACTTTAGAGATTTTTTTTTAAAGGACTTATTTTACAGGCTACTGTAGATGAAAAAAGGAGCCAAAAGCCAAACGTCGTTTGACTGAAAGGAGAAACAACTCAGTTACCAGATGTTTGGTGTTTACTGTGGTCGATATCTTTGTAAATCTATTTTTATTCATTAAAGGGATCATGCTTCCTCCTCCACTCATAACAACTGTATAATTCTAAAGTCATCAGCAGAAAATATAGGAAGTAATATTGAGTCACTTATCACAAGTGAAGACCATTTAGTCTCTTTCGCTATTATTTCCTTTATCACCAAAATACAAAAGATTTTGGAGGATTTCAAAAAGTTAAGTCAGGATTTTTCATCTTCCCTTCTTGGAGTATAGCGCATTATTGTCAGATACGTAAAACAAACAAGTGTCGACCCATTTTCTAAATTTCCCTGTTTGGATTGAACCTGTTTCGGTCCATTTTGATGCTTGACACAATGGGATCATAGTGGTGAGTTTAGAGGTTTGCAGGCTTGGAGCAATGCACTGGGCCCCGTCATTGTCCTCACAGCAGAACATGGTGTTCATAGTTGTGGTTTAATTGTTGGGTTATCCCAATTTTTGGCTAAATACTGTGCATACATATCCAGAAAAGAATACATAAAGGAGTATCTCTTTTTTACTGTCTATTTGACCTTATTATTTTGGTGTCCTCTTAAATTCCCTGAAAAACAGATTCATTTGACACAGATTACATTGTGTTCTAATGCTTTTATTTTGAAACAACTATTTTGAAAATTCTAAAAAGCTTCATGTTACCTTCCGGTTTAGGCAAGCGCGTTTCAGACTAACGCAGACTAACCTTAATGTGCTGTTTTTTGTTAAAATAAACCTTTCAGATGGATATACTTAAAGCTGAGATCGAAAGAAAGAGGAAACTCCTTGAAGAAAAGAATCTTGTTGACGTAAGTATCCGACGAAGTTGCTTGTTATTGTTAGCTTGGCTACGTTGCTAACACGTCGTTTAACCAGGCTAGTTAAGTATTTTTAGAATGATCGTTTTTCATCCATATCGATAGCTTTATCTATAAAGTACTGAACTCCATCTGCAGTAGAATATAAAGCTAACTTTAGGATTAAGCTAAACACAGAGCTGTAGTCTACGAATTGTAATTGCTGCTACGTAACAGAACATTAACTTTATAGTATCACGATTTAAGCAGAAATTCTGGTATTTATACCGTTTAAACTTATCCTAACATTTAATTTTTTTTAATGCAAACATAAGTACCTGCTTCTTTTTCTTTCCAGGACTCAAAAAAATTCTTTAAAAGAGCTGAGCTCTCACAGAAGGAAAGAGACGATTACTTCAGAAGATGCGGATACAAGGTTCATGTCAACATCACTCTGCTTCTCACTCTCTCGATTTTCCTGAGACACTCAGACTTATTTAATTCACTGTCTGGCTTGGTTAGTGTGACACAAAAATAACGAGTAAACCTTCTGCCAGCAAAAAGATAAGGACAGGTGTTGATACTCAGGTGTACAACAGTGTCTGTATTTGTGTTTACTGTGGTGTTTTCCCCCAATTTGCCTCTGCTGCCTGCATCTGTAGGTTCAGAGAGAGACTCCTGAGAGCCAGGTATGGCATTGCACAGTGAAAGTAGCCAACAGGATGCATGATAAAAGGATAAAACACACTGTGTCCTAAACGCTCATGCTTCCTAGGCATCCTTTCTGGAAGTTCTTACTGAAATCTGTTGGGATGAAAACCTAAAAGATATAGCGGAGGGCACATTTTCTGGTTGTTACAAATAACCACACAAGCACTGGATATTTTGGTACAGGATGCCTGGACTCACCTAGTAGTAACTTAGTGTATAATAATTGGATATCAGCTTTACACAAATGGAAATATTCACCAGCTCACTTCTGCTGGATAGATTTAGACTTTTCAAGGTGATTTTAAAAATTATCAACATAGTTTAAATGTCATATAAATGAAATATTTATATGTGCCACAGTCATTATCACAGCTTTGCCTTATGCCAGGCTAGTTATGTATTACAGCCACTTGTCAGAAAGCAAAGGAACACGGAAAGGAAGCTTCAAAGCAAAAGTGGGACACTGCCACGGTGTTGATTTCAGCATGGGATAATGTACTGAAATGAAAAAGTGTTTTTGTTATCAAGCTCTGCTTCTTATTTTTGCAGTTAATTTGTGACATAAGCTTTTAATATTTAAGCAAATTATGGTGTGCAACATGTTTACCGTGACATTTTAACAGCTGCTCAGTGGCAGATTGTATTTATGTTATACTTTGTGCAAAGCTTAAAAACCTGGCTCATTAAGCCATTCTCTTTGTACACGGGCAGCGTACTATGTTTTATTTAAAGCGAAAGAGCTGTTGTTTACTGAGAAGGCTTTTTGTCACCATTTGCTGGTTCTTTTAGATTGTGGTTTAAAAAGCACAATCTAAGAGTGCTGGCATGCATGTGCCTTTTTAAAGCATGATTTGGGTATATTTTGAGTTTCGTTGTGCAAAGAATACAGAGTATCTTTTTCCTGTGTTTAGGCCTGATGGGTGATTTAGACTTCTGTGGGAAATCTACCTTGTTACTTACGTTGTAACCAAAAACACTTTTTAACCCTATGCTGTAACCTTGCATGTAATCTGATGTAACTACACAGCCCACAACGGCTAGGGTTAACAAAGGTTTTCGGTTGCGTTGTAAGTTAGGATTTAGATTTCCCGCAGAAGCCTAAATCACACATAAGATGTTACAGCCGCTAAAGTTATCATGTTGGTGTAGTATTTGTTATATGCTTTCTTTTTTGGTAACTTATTGTGTTACTTGTCTTTCTTGAAGAGTTGCCGGTAAGGGAGTGGTGTGAATGTTTGCAGTTCTGTTTATTTTGTTGATGCCTTTTTGTCTCTTTGGTCATGAGGTCTCAGCTCATGAAGACATTGCAGATGCTTTTCCCCCCTCATTTCTTTTGTAGTAGTTTTATTTGTCATTTTGCCAAGAAACATTAGATTAAATTGAGATCCTCCAAATTGCCTTCATGTTCTTCCAGTAATGCTGGTGTATTTCTGTTCCCTCAATATTGTCCATAAGATTGAGAAGAAAGAGGAAGATGAGCCATCCACTTCAACTAATCCAGTCTTGGAACTGGAGCTCACAGAAGAGAAGCTCCCAATGACACTTTCACGACAGGAGGTGAGTCAGTATAAAACATCAACACTTTCTTTTCATTCATTTTCCTTTAAATATCATAACATTTCATTTTCTTACCACCAAGTGAATAAATATTTCATTTGCATCACTGTTTTTGTGTAGGTTATTCGACGACTTAGAGAACGAGGGGAACCGATCCGATTGTTTGGCGAGTCCGATTATGATGCCTTCCAGAGGCTCCGGAAAATTGAGATTCTGGCCCCAGAAGTAAACAAGGTAGGATTGAGTGTTAACTGGATTTTGGAAAAAACATGCAGTTGAAATTCACATTCATTCCATCTACTCTGGAAAATTGCATGCCACTTTAAATGTTCTTGATTGTATTTAGGAGAGATTGAATTTATTTTAGTGTCAGAATGCTGATTGACACTCATAATATTTACTGTTTTAACTGTGCCAAGGGCTTGAGGAATGATCTGAAAGCCGCCATGGACAAGATTGACCAGCAGTACCTGAATGAGATTGTTGGAGGAACAGAGTCAGGAGAATTGGACACACAGCATGACCTAAAAGTGCACGAAGAAAACACCACAATAGAAGAACTTGAGGTACAGTGCAATATCCAAGAAAAAAGAATGAATCTCCAGTTATTAAATAGCTTCTCTTTTTGTCAGATAAATTTTCAGACACAGTTTGTTTTCAATCATTTTATGTTTGTGGGTGGTGTTTTTGTGTTACCGTAATAATGAAAATATCCCCCTAGGCTCTTGGAAAAACTCTTGGAACAGGTGATGATGATGGAGACCAGGATGTTATTGCTAAATTTTTGAGGGTAAGAATTTCATGCTTGACCTTTTGATCTAAAGTTTTTATTAATTTACACAAAATGTTTTGGTTTTTTAGATGGTGAAAAACAGGAGCTTTTCTCTCATTTCACTATGTATCTATTACTTAACTCTAGGGGAGGTCTATATAAATAGGAAAAGTTGTAAAACTAAAGTTAAAATTCCATAAATCTACACCCTCCGCAATTTCCGAAGCTTTCCAGTGGGGCTAATTAGTGTCTTTTTTGGGGCCAATTCTGGCCCCTGGGCCTTACTTTTGACACCCCTAGTTTACAGGGAGCTCTTGGGTAAATATTAATAGTAATTAAATTATATACTACTATACCTGCTGCTGTTCATATGTTTACATAGTTTAAAAAGTTTAACCTTTTGCACCATTATCAAAAGGAGAATTCATTATGAGCTATTTTTATTATATTTATTTCTTTTATTTGTTCTTTTTCAAATGGGTCAAATAATGGACATTTGTCTAGTGTTAGTTACCACTGCATTTCTTGGAAACGTTTTCCTGTTGTTGGACTCTAGTTTCTTCTTGGCGTTTGGGCCAAAGATCTGAACAGCCGAGAGGACCACGTGAAGCGCAGCGTTCAGGGCAAGCTGGCCAGTGCGACACACTCGCAGACCGAGTCTTACCTCAAGCCTCTCTTCAGGAAGCTCAGGAAGAAGGTAATTTTTGTGGCTGGAGCAAAACAAACTATGGTGCATGGTTCTTTCATGTGTGGATTTACTTTTCATCATTATCTTTTACAGAATTTACAAGCTGACATCAAAGAGTCAATCACAGACATCATAAAGTTCATGTTGGAGAGAGAATACGTCAAGGTATGATAATATCATGTAGCCCCTCTTGTTATTTTTGCATCCATTATAAACTTTCCTAAATGTCTTTTAGGCAAATGATGCATATCTACAGATGGCCATTGGTAATGCCCCTTGGCCAATTGGTGTGACTATGGTGGGAATCCACGCCCGTACAGGACGAGAAAAGATCTTCTCCAAGCACGTGGCCCACGTTCTTAATGACGAGACGCAGAGAAAATACATTCAGGTTAGACCCAGAGTTATACACACTTATGTTTTTATGCTAACCTGTTGCTGAGACAGACACGAACAGCTTTAGATATCACGGCTGAGTAGTTATTCCTATTTTACTTTTTGAAGTCCTCCACCTGGGGCGCATGTGCAGCGTGTGTAATTGGTGCAGTATAATGTAAATGTAAATTCCTCACTGACGAGTCAGCGCTTTGGAAGTTGACATTACCTGATCAAGCACACACATCCATACATATGCAATAATCCTATCTGTCATCGTTGTATTTTTACTCAGTTGTATATAGTATTTGTATTTGTATTCTATTTTTATCTTATTGTATATTTATTTTATTGTATTCTACTGTATATAGTAGGGCTGGGCCATATTATACCGTTCACGGTAATACCGGTATAATGTTAGGCAACGATAGGAAAATGAAATATCGCGATAGAATGAGTAAAACGCGCATGCGCAGTGCCTTTGTTTTCATACGCACATGGCCGATTGTTGAGTGAAACAGATGAACCAGAATTGGTTTGTAAAAATGGTGCAACTTCAGTGATGTGGAACTGGTTTGGTGTTTGTCCGTCAGATACACAACAAAGCACATTTTTTTGCAGAA